ACAAACTGAACTAAATGAAACTTTCCTTCCTGAACTTTGACACCCAAGAAACTAGGGACATGGATTCCTTCTGGGGAAGGAAACCTGTTTTTATTTGGTTTCACAGTATGTAATAAATTAAGAAAAAAAACAACAATGTGTAATAAATTCCCACTGCAATGGTGCTACTCAAACTAACAACTGGCGTATACCTGGGATACCAGCTCATCAGAACTAGATGCTGTAATTTTACATTCTGGCCAAATATCCTTTCTGTTATGATTCAAAACCTGAAGCCAGATTAAAAATGTGGTTTAAAAATTCTTCCATTCCTCAAGGAGGAGGACTCCTTATTCTTCGTAGTCTTTTTTTTTTTTTTAAAGACAGGGTCTCACTATATAGTTTAGGTTGGTGTTCAGCTTACTGTGTAACCCAGGTTGACCTTGAATTCAACAATCCACATGCCTCAGCGCCCCTAGTGCTGGGATTACAGGTATGTGCTACTATGCCTGGTCTCTAAGCTTTTGTTTGTTTTCTTCCCTTCACTTCATTGCTTTATTTTGTTCAGTGTTTTCCATCAAAGCCAGTTCCATGCGCATGGCAGACAAGCACTCCACCACTGAGCTACAACCTTAACCGTTTTTCATTTTGCAAGGAAGTCTTGCTAAGTTGCCCAGGGTAGCCTTGAATTTGTAGTCCTCCTGCCTCAGCCTCTTGAGTAGCTGAGATTGCAGGCATTTACCACAGGGCCTGGTTAATGTATTTATATTTTTAAAGACCATTCCCCCCATTACTAAAGCAAAGTATATCATGTCTAGAACTTGAGAAATATAGGAAATCTTTTTTTAAAAACAAGTTTATTTAAACAGGACACTTGACATAAAGGGAAAAGTATCTAGGATTCTTCTTTTTTAAAGAGTAATTTACTCCTACTTAAAGACAGATTGCTCTACATGTAACAGCTACATACAAAAAAGTTATAAAATTGTCCTTAGCTTTACAATAAGTGAAAAACATTGAAATTCTTCAATCAAACAAGGTATGCAAGGAATTTTATGCTGCTGTCTTTTCTGTTAAACCAGTGAGAGCAAAATAACTTACTGGAATATAAAGATAAGAGCTGATGAGCATGCCACTAATGGAGAAAGGGGATTAGTTTCACAGAACCAGTAATTCTTCATCCCATCTCCTTTTGATGTCAATCAAAACACTGGCCATTTAGTTAAAAAAAAAAAAAAAGCAATATGCTTGTGCACATACACCAGATACTTTATGTACAATAAAGGAATGGGGAAAGGGTAAAGGAAAGAATAAAGAAAACTATACTATTCTGTAGTGGTCAGGATGTCATGGAACCAAATTGCAGTTTTCTGGGCCAGCCAAATAGCTCAGAGGATTAAAGCGCCTACTTAGGCAGATGCAGGGCCTAGGGATTTGATTCCTGGCCTGCTGTGCTGGCACCACCCTTGGGGCGAGCTGAGATGGCGATTGAGACTGGGTGTGGTGACACGTACCTGTAATCCCAGTGCTTGGGAGGCTATAAACAAGAGAATCATTATGAGTCCAATCTGTGTTGTGAGATCCTGTAGACCCTGTCCTAAATGCATTAAAAAAAAAAAAATTGCACTTTTCTAATTGAGAATGTATTCTTGGTTTGTAAGAACAGAGTTCTGGAGTAGAGTTGTTGCAGGTTACTTTTTTAGTAGATGCCTCCTGTCTGCTGCTGGAACACATCAATTACATCTTCACTCTTCATTTCCAACTGTGCAGGTGTGTGTGTTTGATTGATTGGCTGTCCAAATCGGAATCTGATCTGCCTCATTGACAAACCCTGTCATTTACAATAGGCTTTCATTAGTTTACTAAATGGTGTATGCGTTTTTTTTTTTTTTTTTAAATCTGATTTGTTTATTGCTCTATGCCAGTAGGTAGGATAGTATTCAACACAAAGCATGTATTTAATACATATTTGTGGGGTTGTTTTACAGTT